GTGTGTGTGTGTGTGTGTGTGTGCGTGTGTGTGCGTGTGTGTGTGTGTGTGTCACTGCCCGTCCGCTCACAGTAAAACTACACTGATAAAACGGCCTCACAGACATTTGCAGTCACAGTTTGGGTGTTTTCAGCGTCTGCTCTGACTTCCTGTTTCATCACTTCTGCTTCCCTCACTGCCAAACTGTGTCATCGTCACTCTGATCCAATCATCTTCTTCTCTGCCGTCTGTGAGTCACTCAGTCACAAACAAGAGACATTATGAAACCTTTATTTTGTCTGTACACAGCCCCATCCCATAATTATCCCACATATCTCCTTTCTCTCACATCAAACAGAGCTTCAGTCCTTCAGCCACAGTGCAACAGGCAGCCGTGTCACCAGGAGCTCTGATATTATATAGAATTGTAACGTTTTTTGTTTGTGGAATTAAAATCTAAGCGCAGAGAATGTGGAGAAGCTGAAAAAGCTCAAATTCATTATTTACACTTTGTCTTTCAAAGACAATCACACCAATGTTGTTAAACATGTTGGTTTTCATGCGGCACAACTGTGACACATATTTGTTAAAAATGATTAAAAACTAATATATTATTATGTTAACAAGCAAGACTGGTGCTGCAAATAATACAAGAGAGCAACACTGCAGAAAGCAGCAGAGAGTTAGTACTCTCACATAACTCTGTTATAATGAATCATAGTTCCAGGACCATGGACAGCGTTACGGCTGTGCAGAATTACCTGCATCTGAAAATCCTCTCTCACTTTGTGACTGTGTGGCAGACAAAGCCACACTTACCCCACGCAGGCCACAGGTGGATGTATCTACATCTGTGTGACAGCAGTTTGTGCCTGTGTGGTGCCAATATGGGTTTTCTATGGACAGCCATCATTGGATGAAGTTGTTTTATTAAAAATAATTAATCTGTGAGTGAAAAAGGCACAGATAGTTTAATTCTTTGTAGTCTAAGGAGCTTGTAAAGAAAAGCGTCTGGACTTCTTTAAGTTGCTTGAAGACGTTTCACCTCTCATCCGAGAAGCTTCTTCAGTTCTAAGGTCAAATGGTGGTAACAATATAATAATAATGAGAGCCGACGAGTCTGTCACTCTGGACTGTCCTCTGTCTGTGGAGGGAAAGGTGACAAACTCACAGCACAGGAGGAATCTGCTCTCTCTTTCTAGTCCCTGTCAGGACTCTTGCTGCAGCATTTTGGATTAGCTGAAGGCTTTTCAGGGAGTTTTTAGGACTTCCTGATAATAATGAATTACAGTCGTCCAGCCTGGAAGTAATAAATGCATGAACTACACTACTGGTCAACAGTTTTAGAACACCCCAATTTTTCCAGTTTTTTATTGAAACTATGCAGTTGTTTCAGTTTTGTCAACAGTTACAGGTAATAAGAGAAATCATGGCTCTGCTCCTGTGAAAAACACTCTCTGCTCACGATTCCTAGTGACACCAAACACTCGTGTTGGCTAGGCAGTCCTGTATACTGGTGAGGTTTTTCAAACAGTGATCCACGCTGTACTGATGAGTTTGACTCAACAATCCAGTGTCAACTGGAGCTCAGCCACACTGCTAAATTGATGCTGAGAGCAATCAGCTGTAGCTGGTGATGGCTGGTGAGCGACAGGTGTGGCTACCTCCAGCGTGGGAAAATCTTCCCGGTCAAATGATCACTCAGTGCCCAAATATCCGGGGGACACAAAGATCCCACACTAAAACAGAGGAGATCACGCCATGATTTCAAGCTCACCATCTTGTTCTCTTTTTTCCCGAGGTAGTTCTGGTGCCTCAGGAAAAAAGGTACCCCCCCCCCCCCCAAACTACCTCCCTCTTCCTCCCGCTCCATCACACCGCCACACATTCAAGGCCTTGAGATGCAGGCGTGTCACTGAGGTGCAGGGGAGGGATTCCCCCCTCTGTCCCTTTCTCCACATTTCTCACACATCACATACATATAGGGCCTTGGGGGTGGGCACGTTATACGGCAGTCTCTGTATTCAACATCACCTCTGGCACAAATTTTAAATGCACATAGACATTGAGGGTTCTCAGGAGGGGACGTGCTGACACCTGCTGCTCTCTGGCAGGAAGCACCATGCCCTCTCATGTTTTAAATGTGTGCACTGCAACCTTTCTGTGTGTCTCCACGTTGGGTGAGTGTTGAGTTTTTGCATATGTGTGCATGAGGGTGGGAATGCATGTTTGTGTCTGTGTGTGCCTGTTCGTCTATGTGTCAGATCAGGTTTTAGACTCCACCTCT